AGAAAGTAGGGTTGGAAATGTTTGTAATAGAGTGCTACAAAAAATGTTGGAGATAGGAGATGGGAGATAGAATTAAAGAGGGGATGGGAAGGGAAAACACTCCCAAAGTTTTTAACTATATTGTCTGTAATAAATATTAATTCAATCCCTGAAGGTGAGTCTGCTCCTTCAGAGATACTGATGCATATTCAGAAAGAGGGTGCTACAAGGGTGCCACAGTTCTTGCTGGCATGGCAGATGAAGCCCACTACTATCCTTTGGTAGTTCGAATTAAAAATGCCCCCCCCCCAATATGGTCACGTATTTGAAAACTTGCTCCCCAGTTGTGGCACTGTTTGGAAGGTTATGGAATGTTTAGGAGGCAGAGCCTTGCTGGAGGAAGTATGTCACCGGGGGCAGGCTTTCATGGTTTAAACCTTGGCCCCACTTCCTGTTTGCTGTTTTCTTTACAAAGATGAAAATGCTTCCCTACTCCTGCTGCTGTGCCTTCCCCATCAAGATGGACTGTATCCCCTTGGAAATTGTTAAGCTAAAAGAAACTCTCTTCTCCTCTAACTTCCTAGGTGATAACATTTTATCACAACAGAAAAGTTTTTAGGGCTTTTGTGTTGTGGGATAGAATTTGGTGCTGGAGAAGTCATTGACTACTACTGCAGAGCTTAAACAGATGTCCGAGTGAAAGCCTGCAAGAGAGTAATGCTGGAAAAAAAAATGAAGACAGTGGAGGCCAAGTTTACAAGATTTCAGAGGGGAACAAGCACTCTATTAGAAACTAGGCTAGAGGCTATTCATGTAATGTTTTGTCAAAAAGTATGGCTGTACTCTGCTCGTGTTCTGAGAATTTCGGTGAGGATGAATTGAAATGTGCAAATTTGGAGATTTCCAGGAGAGCATTAAGAAGCTTAAGTTGCAGTCAAATTATGTGGTGAAATAAACAAATGCTGTAGTTATTAAAGAGATTAGTGCTATTACAGAGCAATAGGAAAGATACTGAGTATATGATCCCTCATGGCTAAGGTCCCAAGTTGTCAAAAGAGTTTGGGGTTTTTTATATTTCTACAAAACAAATACCTAGTGTGGTGGTTTGAATGAGAAATGTCCCCAATTGACTCATGTATTTGAACACCTGGTCACCTAGGGAAGATTTTCACCACCTTCAAAGTACAGAAGCTGCTGCAACTGTGGTCCAAGAGGCCAAACTTTGTTCTGAGCTGTTAGCATAACATGGCAGTGCCAGCCACTTGGTACTAATTTTGGGGACATGAAAAATGCAATATTGAGGAGATTCTTCCTTCTTGGTTTCAGAGAACTGTTAAGGCCAGGCAGTACGTGGCATATCCGGAGACCACTGCATAAAGCTATGAAGGTGAAACCTGGATTGCATTGGAGAACCGAAGACGTTGGAGATGCCTGAACCTTGAAATGTCTGCCAAAGAGAGCTTGGAAAGAGAGATGTATGTTGGAGGCAGCATATCCGGAGGTGTGGAGTCATCTAAGACCTTTGAAAGTGAAGTTCCAGATATTGGACATGGAGCTACAGTATTTGATGTTTGCTCTGGTGGGTTTTGGTCTTACTTTGGTTCAGTATTTTCCCACTATGCCCCCATTCCTCCTTATAAGAAATGGGAAAGTATATTCTGTGCCACTATATATTGGAAGTATTTTATTTTTTTTTACAAGGGTTCAGTTAAGAGATTGGGTTGAGTCTCAGAAGGGACTTTAGTGTTTTCAACAGTGTTGAGATTGTTAGACTATGGGCATTTTGAAGTTAGACTGAATGCACTTTTCATTATAATATGGCCATGAGTTTAGAGGGAACAGGACACAATGTAATCATCCGAAGAACTATATTCCATAGGCTAATGTATTTGAACACTCGGTCCCCAGCTGAAGGCACTGTCTGGGAAGGTTACGGAACATTTAGGAGGTCGAGTCTTACTGGAGGAAGTACATCACTGAAGGCAGGTTTTGAGGTTTTATAGCCTGGCCCTAATTCCTATTCTCTTTAAAGGGAGACGCCCATAAACTCTAACCATAACGACATCTCTGCTCTACAAAAAAGCCCTTCTGAGACCCTTACTGAAAAGATGCAAGCCCTAAGCCTTAAGGAAACATCCCTAACCAAACTCCATTTACATACACAAACATACTTAAATTCCTCTGCTTTTTAGCTGGTATGGCTACTGCAGACTCCCACTGGTCAGAATTTGCATTGTTGAGGTTGGTTGCTTTTCCTTTCCACCTGTGACTCTTTCAACTCTTAATCCTAACACTCTGCTTACTATGTGTAGATGGAATGTGATCTCTGTGCTTCCTGACTGCCAGGCGGATATCACATTCCTGTTGCCATAGTTTTCATGGCACAATGGATCTTATGTCTTCTGAAACTGTTTTTCTCACCTAACTTGCTTTTTGTTAGGACATTCCATCATAGCAACAGAAAAGCAACTAAAACATTCCCTTCAAATACTGAAATAATTCTATTCATGAATTACTTCATAGATTTCTTTTATGGTTTAAGTAGGGCTTAAATTAAGCTACTATTTGTTTAATAATTATTCTTGATTCTGACAGTACTATTGTGTATATGAGGAAAGCAAAGCACAGTGAGGTCTATCCAGCTCTCATCAGTTTAACAGTCTGAGAATCTGAAGTGTTGTATAGTGGCAAAGAGGAGTTTCAACTATGATGCTGCATACAGAAAGCAGATGAATTTTCTTTTCTAGATTGCAACATGCTTTTTTTCTTGATATCCACAGCCACTGTTTACTGTACTGTACTTTAGTTTCTGTGGCATTGTTCATTAGCTATTTAGCTCAGGGTTGTAAAATTAAAGCGTTCTTCTGAAAATTCAACATGATTAGTGATGCAGCCATGTCCTCTTAAGGACTAGCTACTAGTAATCTGGAAAACAGGTAATAGGTTATATACAGGGGAAAGATCTTTTTTCTTCTAATTTTAGTGCATGCCTGTTGTCACTGCATTGGACCTAAGACTTATTCATTAATAATAATTTTAAAAGTTTGCTTTCTCATGAAAAAATACTTCTTAGGAGACTTTCAAATTATATTTTCCCATCATTTCTGAAATAAAGTGGGGTTGTTTTAAGAGTCCTAGGCACTCTGTAACTGAGCTTCATCCTCAGTTATGAAGTACATTCTTGGATAGTTGATCTTGTGTTTGCTAGTTCTGACATGTCAGTAGGTCCTATGTTATAACATAAAAAAATTCCTATTCTTCATATTAAGGTTTATATTTTTATGTAAATTAACAGGAAGGCCATAGGTTTTATTTAGCATAAAAGAAAAAGCCAACTAGAACACCATAAATAATCATCAAGAGCAGTGCAGGCCTTATAATGTTTAGAATCTGAAATTTCACATCTACATTATTATCATTATACATACACAAGTATCCTAAGGGTGTGGAGATAAGTTCACTGAAGATTATAGGGTCTTAGTCTCAAAACTGTTTTGACATTTGATTCACACAAAAAGTATAGAGCCCCTCACCCTTAAGAGCAGTGTATCTTTACTGCCCATTAACAAGTGCTACACTGAGATAGAATAAAATTGTATGGACAGAAGAAAATACAAATCACCAATGATCATGAAAATGCTTAAATTTTATCAACTAAAACATGAGATCAACGATACATTCTGAATAAAGCAGTAGCAAAGTTTAACAAGAGCAGTTATATCTAATCACCCTCAATATTTTTTTTTTTTTTAAGTTTTCATGTTCCTGAGGATTGAACTTAGGGGTCTCACACATGCTAGACAAGTGCTTCTCCACTGAGCTACACACCCAGTTCCTAGTTTTGGTTCTTTTGATTAAATTTTCCACTCCAGTAATAGTCTCTCTTCAATTTCAAAAATAAACTATTTAATATTTGCTATATAAAGGCTGTCATTCAATGTAGATGATCACTATATCTTCTGCATTTTTATTGACAGTCTCTAGTAGCCCATTAACTTTATTTCAAAAAAAAAATTCAGTATCTTAATTTCTCAGCTTGCTGTATCTCGTGATCAGTTGGTAGACCATTTTTTCTTGTAAACTGTCATTGCCTCACAGAAGCACCCCCCCACCAACAAAAAGCATGATGACTTATGTTGTAGCTTTAAATTATCCTGTCACTTTCAGATGTTAACTTAGGCAATACCTAATTTCAAAAGCTAGTCATTCTCAGAAACTGGATAGACACAACACTTACCTACTGAAAGGAGACCATTCATCCTGTTTTTCCCAGAGACTATGTGAAAAGCCTGCAAGGTACCCATAGTATTAACAGATTTCCAAGTTGAATATAACATCAAAAGTTAACCATAGAGAATGAGAGAATGAGTTCCTTACATAAACCCTCATCCACAGTAATGGTTATTAGGAAACAACCTAAGTACATTACATTTAGATGGTTTCATCAACAATGTGTATTTTGGTATCTAGCAAGGTGTGCAACATACAGATCATCTGATTAACACATATGAAATGTCTTTAATATGGACACAAGCTTTTGTAAAAGCTTGATTTTTTTTTTTTTTTTTTTTGAGAGTTCTGATACTGCCTTATTTTCACCAGCTCTACCCCTTCTCCCTCACCTTTCCCAATGAAACGGCCTGTTTTTTTGAGACAGGATCTCCCTGTAGCCTCAGCTGGCCTAGAACTTACTATGTAGACCAGGGTGGCCATGAACTCACAGAAATCTGCCTGCTTCTGCCTCCCAAGTGCTGGGACTAAAGGCATGAACCACCACACCTGGCTTGAAATTTTTTTAAAGTCATGTTCTTGCTAAGTAACCTAGGCTGTACTCAAACTGGTAATATTCTGACAACACCCTGGCAAGTGTTGGGGTTTTAAGTGCATACTTTCAAACCTCAAGTGGTGTGTCTAACTTTTGATGAATGGTTTCCTATTATCATTGCAATTATATTTTCTTAAGAATGAATTCTTGCCACAAGGAGTGAATTGTGACTTAAGACCTTGCTATACTTATTTATGCTTCTGTCCAGTATGAAGTCTCCGATGACTTGCAAGGTTGGAACTTCGACTAAATACCTTGCCGCACTCATTACATGTGTAAGGTTTTTCGCCAGTATGGATTGCCTGATGCGTAGTCAGGCTTGAACGCACACTGAAGGCTTTGCCACACTTCTCACACTTGTAAGGTTTCTCTCCGGTATGAGTCCTACGATGACTTGCTAGATGTGAATTTTGAGTGAAGACCTTGCCACACTCATCACACTTGTAAGGTTTCTCTCCAGTATGTATTGCCAGATGAGTAGTAAGGCTTGAGTACACACTAAAGGCTTTTCCACACTCATTACACTTGTAAGGTTTCTCTCCAGTATGGGTTCTACGATGATTTGCAAGGTGTGAATTTTGAGTGAAGACCTTGCCGCACTCCTGGCATTTATAGGGTTTTTGTCCAGTGTGGATTACCTGATGGGTATTAAGGTTTGAATGTGAATTAAAGGCTTTCCCACACTCACTGCACCTGTAAGGTTTCTCTCCAGTGTGAATTCTCTGATGAATTGCAAGACTTGAAGTTTGACTGAAGACCTTACCACATTCATTACATTTGTAAGGTTTTTCTCCAGTATGGATAACCTGATGGGAAGTTAGACTTGACCGCACACTGAAGGCTTTGCCACATTCATTACATTTGTAAGGCTTCTCTCCAGTATGAACCCTCCAGTGTCTTGCAAGATTTGAAGTCTGACTAAAGACTTTGCCACATTCTTCACACTTGTAAGGTTTCTCCCCACTGTGGACTCCACGATGACTTGCAAGATGTGAATTCTGAGTGAAGACCTTGCCACACTCATCACACTTGTAAGGTTTTTCTCCAGTATGGATTGCCTGATGGGTAGTGAGGCTTGAGTACACACTAAAGGCTTTCCCACATTCATTACACTTGTACGGTTTCTCTCCAGTATGTATTCTCCAATGATTTGCAAGGTGTGAATTCTGAGTGAAGACCTTGCCACACTCTGAACACTTGTAGGGTTTTTCTCCAGTGTGGATTATCTGATGGGTATTTAGGTTAGAATGTGAACTAAAGACTTTCCCACACTCGTTGCACCTGTAAGGTTTCTCTCCAGTGTGAGTTCTCCGATGAATTGCAAGGCTTGAAGTTTGACTAAAGACCTTGCCACACTCATTACATTTGTATGGTTTTTCTCCAGTATGGATTACCTGATGATTAGTTAGGTTTGAACGAACACTAAAGGCTTTGCCACACTCCTTACACTTGTATGGTTTTTCACCAGTATGAATTCTCCGATGACTTGTGAGGTGTGAATTTTGGGTAAAGACTTTGCCACATTCATCACATTTATAAGGTTTGGCTCCAGTATGATGTCTCTCATGAACCAAAAGATAAGAACGTCTGAAAAAAGCCTTACCACATTCAACACATTTGTAAAGTTTCTCTCCAGTATGAATTCGCCGATGATGTGCTAGGGAAGAGGTATAACTGAAGACCTTCCCACACTCATTACATTTATAAGGTTTTTCTTTAATGTGTATCTTTTGTCTTTGCATGAGTAATGAAGAATAAAAGTCATCCTCGAGTTCATGAGAAATGTGTGTTTTGACACTAGAAGGAATTTCTGGAGAGGATAAACCCAATGAATCATTGCTGGTAGGCTTCTCAACTTCATTACTACCAATTTCCTCGTCAGATGAAAATAGTTTGGGTACAGGCAGATGTGACTTGAGGCTTAATCCAAGCCAATTTCTCCTAAATTTGTTCCCTGCCTCCTTCCTACTATCTTGATCTCTTCCACCATTTAAGTTTTCTTTATGGATTACAAGCATGGGTTTATAACTCCCTTCAATGTTTTTCCACTGAAACTCAAAGTCATGTATGTTCTTCTGGACTTCCTTGAAGGAGAAGTCTGTAATGGCACTGTTTTTATGTCTTTCAAACATCACTGTCTGGAATATTTCTCCAGAATCGCTGTCCCCTTTTGATGGTATTTCTTTAAATGTATGTTTAGGAGAGTTGACTAGAAGATATAAAGTAACATAGACCTGATTAATTATAGACAAATATTACACATTGAAAACTTTTATAACAAAAGTATTACTTATGAATTGACTTATAAACCTTCAGAACCATAAAAATCAATGTTTAGTAACATCAAAAATATGATTCTTTAGTTAAGAACAGGTAATTACAAATAATTCAAATCAACAGAAGATAAGCCTAGTTTCAAAGAACCTATACCAAAATCTCCATATTAAGCAATCTACATAAGTCAGGAAGAAAAAAGTGTATTTTTCCATCATGGCCAATAGGCACACACTAACTGCCAAAAAACATATGGCTGTATCACAACTGAAGAAACGAATGGCTATTAATGGCACATTCTGTATAAATAAATGCTAAGGTATCATAAAATGTTATACTGGTACATAGCCAGTAGTAAGTTTATATAATAAATAAGTAAATGGCAATTTTGAATAGCAAAGCAACAACAGCAAAGAGGAAGAGGGGAAGAATTCACACACACACACACACACACACACACACACAAAATCAGCAAAAAAGAAAATGTAGCATCTTTTATAAAACTACACCCACTCACAACAGGCACTTTTCAACATTAATAAGCAATGTATGACAGTGATATTGCATAAAACATGTTGACAAATAAACACTTGCGAACCCTAATAAAAGCCTGCAGGATCTTCTATTTCAGAAACAGCCCAAAACACAAGGAACAGAATACTCAGCTATTCCACTCCTGTTTGTTTATATGTATGAAATGAAGTCACTATATAAAAAGAGATATCTGCATGCTCCTGATTATTGCTGCAATGCTACAACAGCCTAAGTACACAATCAGCCTACATGTGTGCCAAGAGATAAAGAGTCTCTCTCTCTCTCTCTCTCTCACACACACACACACACACACACACACGCTCTGGAATATTAATCAGTCACAAAGAATGTTGGGAGCCATCTCAGCATATTGGGAGACTGAGTCTTAGCCACTTCTTCACAACTGCTGACAGGCCTCAGCTGGCTATTTTCCATTCTGCCCGCAGCCTTGGCCCAAAAACTTCAGCAGGCAAGCAGAGCCCACAACCCTGGCTCATAGCCAGGGCTGGTAGCCTGCGGCCTTGCTCTAGTTATTGTAAATAGCCATTTTCTGTTGATCAGTAGACTCTCGCAGGCACGGGATGGAGCCCGCGGCCTTTGCCTGCGGTCTTGTTTTCTTTTCCAGTAACCGCCTTGCTCTCAGTGGATTCCTTCCTTGGAGTGCACCTGGGTCTTTGCTATCTGGCTGATATGATTCAGTCCAGTCTGTACTTCTTTGTTCTTATTCCTTATTTAACTGTATGCTTGTGCTTCAATAAACGAGGCTTGATCAGAGCACTGTCTTGTCTCCATTTCTCTTGCCCCTTGTCTTGGATACTGGGGACAACGTGAGGGACATGACGAAAGAAGAAGGGGTGCCCACCCGATCAAACAATAGTTCAGAGACGTCGCGGTAGCCTGCTGTGACCGAGCCGACAGGTAAGTTGGTAGTCAATCATGGGGCAAGAATTAAGTCAGCATCAAAAGTATGTGATACAGTTAAGAGAAGCTCTACAGGCAAGAGGAGTAAA